GCTAGTAAACGTTATAAGTAGTAGAAGAAAAAGATACGTAAAACTCTAAAGGAATAGTAGTTCTTAGTGTAGAGAGCGTTAGTACCTAGTTAAAACTTACTCTAGTATTATCTATATACTAGGTACTACTTATAATAAGATAATATACTTTAGGCTAAACACAATTAGCTATTCGTACGACTAATTAGTACTATATAGTACTGTAAGTCTTATAGACCAGTATTACCCTAAATATTAAACGTAGTATTAAGTAGAAGTACCGACTATAGAGAGTATATATAGAATAGAGTTAGGGAGGTTGTCGAGAGCTTAAGACGCTACTTTCGAGAGTAGTAGTATAATAGGGTTCCGTAAGATATCTAGAGTTTCTACTAGTAAGATATCTAAAGGTACTAGGCTACTAATATAGTACCTACTACTTAACTAAGGAAGAATGTTCAATCTAGTAATAGTACTAGCTAGTTACTATAATACTTTTTTAAGCTTTATATATATAGGTTTTACCTAGTTAAAGGAAGCTTCTTACTTCTATTCTAATAACTATATTAATTTTATAACTATCTCTATCTTTTAGATTTAGAACAAGATACTAAAGAATCCCTATAGTAATAGGTAGCCTATCTCTTATAAGGCTAAGATTAATATAGGTTACTTTATTTAAAAATCTCTTAGTCATCTTACTATAAAAGCTATTAGGTAGTAGTAGTATATCTATATAGTATACTCCTAAGACATATATATACTTTCTTTATTATAGAATCGATACTATTTATTAGTAGATTAATAGAACTAGAAATATTAGCTTTAGAATTACTCTCTACTATATACTATATAGATAGCTTAGTAAAGACTCTTACTATAGTAGATGTCTAGACATGTTCAAAATTGCTATAGTAAAAGTAATAATAATATAAAGAATATAGATCTAATAGCAAAATAATAGAAAAGAGACAAATAAATTAAATACTACCTATAGTATTAGTTAAGAAGGGTACTTCGTAAGAAGCTTAAATAGGGAGTAGATATAAGCTAGCCTATATATAGACCCTATTGTTTATTATCTCTTAAGCGATTCTCTTAAATATATCTATACTATAAATCCTATCTACTGTCTACTAGCTTCCTATAGTATATTAAGTATTACTTAATACTACTCGACGCTTAGTATAAGCCTATTCTTTGTACTCTATATACTCTATAAAGCTACTACTAGTAGATAGTAGTAAAAGTACTCTTAGTAGTATCAAGAGAGCGACTATATTTATTTAGGGAACAAAGACTATTATAGACCTATACTAAGCTAGTATAGTAGCTACTTTATAGAAGTAAAAGGAAGCTATAAATAGAAGATAAACTCTGGTACCTATATACTAGAAAGGTAATAGGATCTAGCTCGGCCTACGTAACTATACTACGTTACGCCCGAACGCTTAGTAATATTAAGAGAAGGAATTATTTAGACTCTAAGTCCAGGTATAAGGAGTTAGTACAACTATATATAGACTCTAGATATACTAGATAGAACCTTTACGACCTAATTCTTCTAGCGATTACTATAATATTTCAGGTAGTATTTAAGGATAGTAAGACATAATTCTAGAGTATAGTAGAGAGTTAGTAATAGTAGTAGTAATACTTTATTTACATATCTTAGAGGCCCGAAAGTACCGTAATACGCGCGGATATCTATAGGTAGGCAGGTAGGCCGTACGCTACTTAGTAGGATAAAGGGTACTAAGATATAGTAGGTAGAGAGTACTAGTATTAGCCCTTATATACAGACTAACGGATCTATATACTATAGGCATACCGGCTCGTTATAAGACTAGATAAGAGGACTCGGACGCTCGTAAGGTATTATTTATATACCTTAGAGGCCTATAGACAGCCTACCCCCCTACTAGTAGCCTAGTGCTATTATACTTAGAAACTAAAAACCTGAAAAACTCTAAAACGCTAGTACTAGCTATCTATATACCCTTCTAAAATTAACGACGACAGCTTTCTATGTACTTAAATACCTGTTCAACTGCCCTACCTGTTACTCTAGGATTACGGCTATAATAGGGACCGTTTACATACCTAGAGGTCGTCTAGTACCGACCTCTTACGCTTTTAGTAATATTTAGAAGGGCTCTTCTACCGAGTACTCGATAGATATACGCTTAGTTTACGGCAGATATCGTACCTAACAATTGCGTAACGCCTTCTTACGCCGTTTGTTAATTGCCTACTACTAGCTAGTATAGTACGTACGCTACGAATACCTAGTATTATACTATAAGTACCTCTAGTAGTACGTTTAGTAGTAGTAGTAGTATCTCTACTAGGTTTTATAGGTTAAGTATATTATTAACATTTATATTACTACCTAAGCTTCTAATAGTAATCTCGTTGTCGTCGTCGTCGTCGTGTTCTTAGTTTATTAGTTCGTCGTCGCTATACTAACCTAAGCGATCTATAGATTATACCTAGGTACGGCCTATCGTAGCTCTACCCCTACTTCTTCCTCTTAGAGCGGTATTACGAGCTATTCGTCGTTACTTAATAGTAGGTATATTAGTAGCTATAACTATATCTTGTATTAAAAGAGTAATAGTAATGCCTATAGCTAAAGTTGTCGTTAGTCGTCGGGCTCTCTACGCGCTACTTAGTAGAGGAAAGGATACTAAGATATAGTAGGAGAGGAGTACTAGTATTAGCCCTTATATATAGACTAACGAATAATACTTTAGCGTTTTCTTACCTTTTTAGTAGATATACCTTTTAAGCCGCGCTAGTATAGCTAGCTTCCTTCCTATATGTCGCTCTATAAACTAGTTACTATCTCTAGCTAATATATTCTAAGGATAATAAGAATAGCTATTACTATAACTAAGGTAAATAAGATATAGTATTACTTATACGTCGTATAGATTAGTATATCTCTAAGCTACCTAAGAAACAGAAGTAGAAAGAGTAGAAGTAGATAAATTATTCTTTAGTAGAGTCTATATAAAATCTAAAGTAGGGGTGTAATAGAGCTTACAAAGATATCTAGAATTCTAGCTATATTGAACCCTTCCTTTATTACGTATAATAGAGCTCTATAAAATACTAGAAGTTCTAGCGACGTTACTACTACTAATATTAATTTATAATAGAGTTTCTAAAGATATCTAGAGTTACTCTTCTAGCTTTTAAAGGTCTTGCTTTGCTTTATACTACTAAGCTCGAAGAGCTTCTTATTTATTATCTTTACATATAGATTATAGGTATTAAACTACTATCTTCCGAGAAATATTAGCTTATATTCTACTATACTAGTATCTTAAGCTTTTAAAGTAGTATTACTCTAGAGTAAGTAATATATATATCTAGATATATCGAATTCTTTATATAATAAATAGTACTTAAGCTATTTTACTTATGTACATATTGCTTTAATAAGTGTTCTTCTACCTATCTTCTTTCTATCGGTTTCTAAGCGTTTAATATAAAGAAATATATATTCGTTAGTCTATATATAAGAGCTAGATACTAGTATTCCCTTCTACTATAACTTAATATCCTCTACTCTACTCTACTAAGTACTAAGCGCCTACCTGCCTACCTATTGATACGCGCGTATTTACGCTACTTTCAGGCCTCTAAGGAATATAAAGAAGTATCTCTAAGCGTCTAAGTAGTCGTTATATAATACAATATCTAATCTAGTTTTTTTCCTAGCTAACTAACAAGGTAATTAGTCTACCTTTATATAAACAATCTTACGAAGCTAGAAGAAATCTATAAATACTATTATAATTACTAACTTTATATACTACTAAGTAGAGAAGATAAAATTAAGATATAGTAAGATAGAGAGACTAGTATTAGCTTATATATATAGACTAATAAACAATCTAAGCTATTAAAGTCTATAATTAGATATAATAAAAGCTTAATAGTAAAACGATAGAAAAGTAATTAATAAGTATCTTCTATCTATAGTACTACTTAAGAAGGTTATAAGAAGCTAAAGTAGAAAGTAGCTAAGAGTATTATCTTTAGATACGAACTATTCTAAAGTTTAGTATAAATTATAAAGTAGCTTAGAGTGTAGCTAGTAGCTAAGGTAGGTAGGTAGGTAGATAGATAGGTAGGTAGGTAAATAAGTAAAGAGTTAGTAGGTAGATTAGTTATAGAGAGAGTTATATATCTACCTCCCTTCCTAGAGAAGAAAGAGGTCTCTATAGATTCTCTAGATATAATAATAAACTCTATTATACGCTTATAAGTTAGAACTATACTAGTATCTATTATACTTTAACTATATTCCTAATAATTCTATCTTATAATAAGATTATAGATATTCTAAATATTAGAGTAGTATACTAGATACTAGTAGTACTATCTACCTACTAAGCTTAGTAGTAGGTCTAGTATATACTATAGATCTATATCTATATAGTCTATTAAAGTAGAGTCTATATATTAACTAGCTTATCTTTCTACTCTATCTTATCTCTCTATAAAGTTTCTTCTTAAGTAGTACTATAGATAGTATTTATCTACTTATTATTATCTATATAGTATAATTAATTAGATAGATAGTAATTATATAGGCTACTATAAGGTATATTCTAAGCCTTAGTCTAGTATATACCTTATCTTAGCTTTTTTTACTTTATAGAGTAGTATATACTATTATTATCTATTATCTATTTAAGTTATAGTAATATATTAATTACGAGACTTCTACGTAGCTATAATATAACTAGAAGCAACAAGCCAGAAAAGCTAAGTAGTGAAAAGTACCCGTTCTCGGCTAAAAGCTTATCCGGAGGCACGTGTCGGCCCGGCGCTCCGAGCCTTTTCCGGGGCAACGTAAACGACATGCAAACATTCCAGTCCCTTGCACCGCACGACACGACCATGACATTCTCGAGCTTCGCGCAAAGCAAAACGCCACAACACGAGAACGCCTTACTCCATTACCGCCGCGCACACGTTTACTCACCCCATATCAAGTCACGATAATGGCTGTCGAGTCGCGAAATTTCTGTCTTATGTCGCCGCCCCGTCATGCTTCCGCCCCAGCTCGTCTCGAGGGCGACTCCGTGCACAGCATTCATGACAGCAGACCTGCTCCACCCATTCCCGACTTCAAGGCCGAATGGTACCTCCTCGGTCAACCCACTTATCAATCTACCTCTTCTGCATACCTTGGTCCCCTCCTCGCCGCCTGCTTCGCCGGCTGGATCTTTGCAGGCTACGAGCAAAGCGTTAGTACTCTCTCCCTCGCATTGTGGAGCGGTGTGTTCTACCTGTTCTTGGATTTGACAAACCGCCTAATCTGGAGAGATGTCCGGTTTCGATGGATCCTCGCTCGCGGTCTTTGGGAGTTCACGACTCTAGTTCCAAACGGCAGATGGCGATGTAGAGCTGAGATAATTGCGAATGAGGCGGAATACTGGCTTGTGCGGAACTGTCTTTCGATCCATGACCGCATCCAGGCGGACTTGATGATTGGCTGGCATCGCTGGGTTCGAAAATATCAACAACAGCATGGATTTGACTTGTTGGACGGACTGAGCTTTTTCGCTGCTCTTCTCATCCTTCTGGCTTTTTCACTCTGGTGCTGTCAAGGCCCTCAATCTCAGGAAGTGCTGAAAGAAACACCCCCAGCTACTCTCTCTTTGGCAGATTGCCGGGATCCATTTTGCCTTACAGCAGAGTCCGCCCGAACACATCCGTTCAATACCTGGATATCCCAGCGCAGTTCCGACTATTCCCTTTTCTGGCTCGCCAACGCTACAACGATCCTGTCTACTGTGCCGGGCGTGCAGAAGAAGGTTGGTTCTTCCATCACCCGATCTTCTCCTCTCTGGAAAGTCGCCTCGGATCTTAACCACGTCTCGTACTATCTTGAACGGAAGCGATTTACTTTTGTCGAAGAGCGTCTTGCCGCTTTCAATTCCGCGTTAAAGGATCTTTCCTGGGACTTCGACACACAATCACAGGTTCTGTTCAGCCATGTTCTGGATGGCGAGAAAGAAAAGGACTCGACTCTCTACCATCGCTTGTCAAACTTCTTTAGCATCACCCCAAAGGCTCTTGCTGGTCCAAAGTTCTTCAACTCCCTCCGCAATCGTATCTTGACAGGCGTCATGCCTCTCGGTCACCAGACTGTCCAACATGCAGATGCAATTCAGAAAGACCTCGAGGTCTGCCGTGCACTACTCACACCTTTCCTCGGGGGAGTTCAGGCTGCAATCGAGGCCGGACAAACGCCTTCCGATAAGCCCTGCAACAGCAGTACGGCCATCGAAGTTTCCTCTTCTCCTTCTTGCCACGAAGCTTGGGAACCCATCCTCCACGAGCTGAAAACCAAGACCCTCTACATAGACTTTATCGATGTCAATCTTTTCGCTGCGCGGAATCGTGCTCTTGCAACTTTGTCTGGTCTAGAGGTTCTGGATCGATACCTTCACAACGAAGTTGAGCGTCTGTGGCGAGGAAGCAATCCCTTCTTCGGAGAGAAGATACCTGCAGCTGTTGAAGTCCGTGACTTTTTGAGCAATCTGAGACGGACTATTGCTCCTCCTCACGCAGGATTGGCCTCATATGCGAGTCGAGCGGGTCTGCTTGCCAGTAAACAGTGGGCTTTCCATTACTCTGACGAAATCTCGAAGATTCTGGAGGGAAAGAGATGCGGAGACGAAGACTTTCAAAGCTGCGTTCGTCAGGAAAGGGCCCTCTCATCAGCAGGGCAGTCGAGATCTGGCTCTCGTGGGTTCTGCGCTTTCGCAAACTGGATCATGCGATATGCTTCTCCCTTCCAAACCGAAATGCCCACTACCGTCGATCCTGCCGAGTCCGCCATCCAATCTCTCGAATCCTCCTGGTTCATCTACTCCACGTTCCGCTACCCCTCCCCTTCAATCCAGCCGGCAAACAAAGACAACATCCCGTTCCTTCCGATCCAAGTCCCAGAATGGTACGAATACTGGTCCGGGCGTTCCATAGAGTTATCGCAGGAGGAAGACAGTGACATTCGACAACACGCACAACCACTGAATGAGAAAATGTTGAAAAATTGGAAGAGCTATAAAAGCACTCTAAACGAGGAGGTCTGTTTGATGGTTGGGGAATCGATCGGGTTGCCTAGTTGCAAGTTGGAGGAGGAGATCTGGTGTGTAGACTCGCCTTGGAAGAAAGTGAGTGAGGTGGAACGGAGGATGTTTTTGGAGGATATGTCGGAATCGAAACGGATAAGGATGGAGAGGGCTGGTTACGAGGATCCTGCTTGGGGAGAGCAGGGAGACATAGTCTGAATCGGATTGGAGCGTAGTTATTGGCTTCAGTGTAAGCTTCGTTGACCCGAGGAGTTTCTTTCCCTATAGTTTCATTCCATGACTACCAGCAATGCCCACGCCGCCACGCCAAATTACAATCTTTGCTTGCCGCCGCGCCAGATTATAATCTTTGCCTTTCCGTCACACCTACGTTCCATTCATCAACTGCAGACGTTCGTAGCCCACATAATCTTTCTATTCCGAAACATGCCAAGTAACAGGCTTCCCTGTATAAGTACACAATTCATGAAAGATTTGACTTCTGGAAATGCCAGCGAACCATGTCTCTAACAATTGATTAAGAGAGTCATGGCTTCAGTTAAGACATGAATGCCACCGAGCTCAAACTCTTCTCCCGTCTCGTAAGGGGAAAAGAGAAGAGTAATAAGGTCCGTCGTCGGGCCCCGAATGACAGCTTGGGCTGTGTTCCAACAACTGTCCTTGCAGCCTTTGCGGATGGATTTGCGAAAGATAGTTCAGGTCCCAACCTAGAGAGGTCTCTCCGAAACGGACGTTTTGCTGTCACTGTAGTTGACACATCGACTGTGGCTTCTATTGCGACCGAGGTGGAATGATGCTGATTTACTGTCCAGGCCCTCGCCCGTATCGCGAATCGCCAGGCTCGCGGTGCGTTCTCTTGAGAAGTCATTCATGGAGCAGTGCCGCTTGTGCTGGAACAATGGCTCTCAATTTACAGCGGAGGTCGAAATCTGGGTCGGTGTGAGGGCCTTTCGGCGTTCGAGCTGTTTGGTCGCAAGTTCTCCTGTCAATTCCTCACCCGACTTTGACGGATTGTGTTCCATAAGAAGCTCCCGAGATTTTGTAGATGGCTTCTCCACTCCTTGGACACTCGCGCGAGAACAACGCGGATGTGGTGGGTCAATGGCTTTGATCTTTCTTAGTCTCCTGTTCCATGGCACCCTTGCTTCCGGGCACAACAACCCTTAGAGGGCCTTGGGAATGAGAACTCAGGCTGCACGCGAGATCGATGGGCACCGCAAAAGCCGTGAGAAATAGCAATAAATTGTGGGTGGTGATCAAACAATCAGAGCGACGTTGGGTCTGCTTTTCCAGTCTCCGACGGTGAGCTAGTCGAAAACTGCTGGTGCAACGAGTGCTGCTGCTCGGCACTGGTAGTGGACTCGGTCTTTTCGTGCGTACTGTTCGATCCAGTGGTGGGTGAGCAGACGTCTGGTACCTTAGGTGGTCGAGAGAATGACTTGGTTCCAAGAACGGAAGGAAGGAATCGAAGGATGCTCAATTATTGCGGCGGCAATAAGAAATGTCGTCGAAATCCGGAGTCAAAGGCGGTCAATTGTGAGCCTCAGAAGCCATGATGTTTGAGCAGCTCACGCTTGATCTGGCAGCTTATTTGCGAGAGTTACTGTTCGAACCACGCAAGCAGTTGACACCTTCTACTCGCAAGGTTGCGACCCTGTACGAGCCGAAGGTATCAGACTGCGAGCCATGGTGATCGCGAAGACGATGGGTTGTAGGGTGGTCGATGGAAGTCTTGGATTGTGGCAGTGTTCAGTTTGCGATAAGCAGATAAAGCCGTAAAGGCAAGCTGGAGAGAAATCGAGTTCCTCCTTCACTGCTCCTTCCTCCCAGATCGTTGCTAGCAACTGACACTTCCTCCTCGCAAGGTTGCGACCCTTGACGAGAAGACAGATACCAACTGTCAACAAAGACCATGGAACTTGGAGCCAGGGTGGTTGCTGGATGTTGAGTTGATGTAGATGAACAGCGGCCATTGTCGAGTCCTTCTAACCGGAGGCGTGGTATCCTGTATCTCCGCTTCCCTACCCCATGGCTCGCAACTGACACTACCAGCTCGTAAGGTTGCGACCCTTCACGAGATATAGATGCCAATTGTGGCCGTAGAGTATGAATTTTGGTGGGAGTTACGCGGAGTGTGGAAATGAGCGAGGAGCTTTGAATTCTGCGGCAGTGGGTGGGCTCTTGGCCTATACGTATAATATGATACGACGGCTTGGTTTCATTTGTCCTGGTTGCACATTTGAATAGTAACATAACGGGAGTCTGAAAGACTGGTAAGTAGGTAATGACCTTGCACAGGCTGTCCTAGGAGCTTGACTCAAACCCGTTATAGGTTAATAACGATACCACATGGCTCGGCCAGAGAAATGCCGCGTGGGATACTAGGGACGTGAAGATACAGTGCTCGAGCAAGTTGGTACTAGGAAACCCCGTGTTGCGGTGATCTATTACAAGTACGCACCGCCGTATGTCTAAGACGACACCAAGTCGTTCGACTGAGGTAGTAAAGCCTAAGCATAACGGTGCGGTCCTAGAGCAAGTTGAATTCGAGTGGCCTAGAGGAGGTGAGTACATCGCCGTAGTCCGTTACACCTCCACATTGCTATATCTTCAAGAGGTCATTACGCGGCTGGGAGGTAGAACTAGAGCGGTAGAGACATGACGACACAATCTCAGAACGGATTGAGTTTGAGACACTTCTAGCAGGCAAACTCGCTAACGTCGACTCTTTCCAACATTATGTCGCCGCACGGCTAGAGCGACATCACGTCGTTTGACCGTGGAGGTGAAGCTAGAGTTGTTAATAACGTGACCGGATCAGAGCAGGGTAAGCTATACTTCAGACATCCCGAGTAGGCAAACTTACTGCCGTGGACCGATGTAGCTTGACCTCGCCGCCTTGTAAGAAGGACGTCGTATTGTTTGCTTCGAAGCGTGACACTACCGTTGATACGGAATTGACGAAACTGTACTACCACACATCGTCTCCGAGATCCTTAAAGCTAACAATCAAGCTACTAGCACATCGTACAGTAACGAGACGGCACTATTCCAGAGTCAAGTCACCTTTAGGTACCTTAAGAAGAGGCGTGAATATTATACTACGTTCGAACTAAGGACCGACTCGGAGCTATAGTAACATTATGCCGATCTTTTATGTTATGACTGTATCACGGCCTTGTGTTAGACCTTAATAACTCCGGTACGTGTCGCTCTACTAAGCTAACATTACATGATTTGAACCGAAGAGACGAAGATCTAGTAGCTCCCGTATCTACCCTATCATGTTAATTGGACGCTATAATACGAGGATAGTACGGGTACCTTTATTTCGTCACGATAGGTATGTAGACAGGCGACGTCGAAGCAAAACAATAGGGTAAGATAGATTTTGCTTATGCTATGTAGTCATGCCGTTCTAGCGTCATGACGCTACATCTTAGCTCGGTGTAGCTTTCGTACAGACTGTAGCGAAGCCGTATGTAGGGTTGCCTAAGGCGCTTCCTTTTCAAATTTGCTAGCGCTCTCTCTAGAGAGTTTCGATCTTAAACGTCGGCGAAGTGTACCAGCGCCTGGCTGCGGGTAATGAGAGCGTAGAAGTAGGTGCATGAATCCCACCTGTAGTACCCTAGTCTAGAGTGTCGAGCCTACGCGAAAAGACACAGTATTCGAAGTTGTGCTCTTCGCGTGGAATGTATCGTTTAACAAAGATTAATTAAGGCTGGCGGTGAACGCTGTAGGGAGGTCAGGTCTAGCTCATTTCCTCTACGAATTTCCCGAAGAGGTTGTGCTCAAAAATATCGTTGTAACTTGTCGTAGTAAAGCCAGGGAGCCGTGTGCGCGAAATCGTGCTGTACCCGAGAACCCTCTCGTTTTCAAGATCGGAAAAGACGGTACCAACTTCCACCTTTGGGTTTCGACGGAGTAAATGTGCCGGACATGAGGAAGTATAATCACGAATGAGAAGAGCCTGTCAGTGGAGCTTGACCGGGGCCATGTCTGAAGCACCGGTCAGTATGCTACCATTTCGTCACGGCTCTCGGTCCATTCGTGGAGGCAGGTAGATCGTCTCCGGCAGTCGAACAGTCCTATGGTCTGAGAGAGATTTCCGTTGCTTTCTCCCCCATACGAAGGCTCTACCATGTCGTACTAAAGAAGAGAGAGATCCGCGGCAATGCTTTTGGTCGGTGATAAGGAGACAACGATACAAAGCCCCATTTGGGGCTCCTTATCGGTACAGCCGCGGGCATGTTTCGGTTTCGATCTTGCACAAAGCACGCCTGTTTCACGTCAAGGTGCTGCCTCTTCTCGTCGTACGCCATCCACACGTTTGAATTCGCAGGCTGCGGAGGAGATAAGAAGTCCAATCTAAGAAGACAAAGCGAGTGTGACCATACCGCGCATAATTTTCAAACCACCAGATGACCTGTTCACGACGGATCCGGCTCCTTTAATGAAGCAGCATCATGGAGGAGAAAAAAGGTTGGCGGGGCATCGAGGCTCCATTCGGGAGGCAGACTGGCATTTGATCCGCGTAAGCTTTTGGGCATCTCGTCCTCATAATGGTCTAGACCACCCATCTTGCCGGCGCAAAGGATTATCGTGGAGCATGTCTGGACACCTCGAGGACGAGGCGGCGAGATCGAGTGCAGGAATACGCCAGCTATAGAGGATGTTGTAGTCGCCATGAAGTTGAAGGGTTCCTGCCGGACTGAGACTCATTATATTGTATAGTCTCACGTCCGATCCTCCAATCCTGGTAGGCGGGAAAGAACTCTGGGAAGCTTGTTCAGCGGGTGCAAGACGACAGCAAAAGTCGAGAGCCTCTTCTAGAAACTGCCTCCTACTCGATCCGAAGCGGAGTATGTCGTCAAAGGCCATTGCGGCTGTCTCGACGTCTGATGCATTTGAGACCTTCCAGTGTCCGTCTATTCCTCACTCTGGAAGCTAGCTGTGGTGATATGAGAGCATCGTTCGATTCGTAGCACACCTCAAGCAGGTCTCGTGGATGCCTCGACTTGTTCCAGTTCAGGCGATTGGACCGGTCGCACGGCTGAAAACCGCGACGTCCATGGAGACTTGAGTCACAGCGAGCAGTCCTTCGATGTAGAGCCTCCTCCAATATCCGCACAAAGAGCCACGAAATCCGATGCCAAAGGAATTCTTCAGGATCAAGACCGTAATGATGCCATCGGAACTAGAGGGTAAGAAGGCATGGATCCTGATGCGATTCAGGCCTGGAAATGCAGACGTCCGCGCCACCGCAGTCTGCAGAAACGCCGAGTACCGGTCAGTTGCCGGCGCTATCTCCAGTCACGTCTCGACTTCTTTCCCAGTAGTGTTGTCCACTTGGTGAGGATAGATGAAGGAGAGCGTTCCGGCGGGGAGCAGAAAGCAGCCTGCAGATAAGATGTGCTACGCTAAGCTTTTCAGAGAAACAGTAAGAACGCGTCCTCGTGTAGCGAAGTGACTGGGGTATTGTTCGCCATTCAAATCCGTAACGACCATAACAGAAAGTAAGGCCGCATTTGCCACTGTGAGGTTCCACTCCGTCGGGCAAAGTCTGCGGATCTCTAGGAAGACCGCAATACTTGGCGGGCTCGGAAGCAGTCTTCTTAAGTGATGGAGCCATAACATCCTGCAGCAAGTGCCTTACACTTCCAGTGGTAGTCCACCGCTATGATGGCCACGGTCGGTCCCAGCGATAAAGGGATGAGAAGGAATCTCAGATCCTCGAGGAGAGCATGCCACGGTCCAGGCAGATCGACGGCGCTCGACAGCCTGAGAAGCTTTTGAGAGGGATGGCCCCGGTGTGGTTGCGTCTTGAATCATTGCGATAGTAGGTATCAGGGTCGGCAGAGGGGCTGATAATGAAACCCGGGCGGGAGGGGAACGTTCGACCAGGGAAGACCACGATGATGGAGCCTGGCCATCTTCGTCCGTCGAGAGGGAAGGCACCGCATCGTCAGCCGATCCCACTGATTTAGCGACAGCTTCGAACAACAACCGTGATACAGCACAGCTCTCACCATCAACCATTCTCACATGGTGGCAGACTCACCCGATCCTCACTCCTGTCGCTGTGGCTGTCCTTGTTATCTGCATCATCTCTTTCGTCTACTGGTTCCGCTCTGGATCCGACACGCCGCCGTCACCGCGTCAAGCGGGAGGCAGACCAAACGGCGCCTCTCCTCTAACCACCTCCACGACATCTTCTGCTGCTGGACCTATGGTTGCGAGGTACTCCAGCGGTACTGTCATGTTGGTGAATGCGTGGCAGCAGGATGAGGCGTTCAGAGGATTGTGACAGCGCGATTCCAATGTGGGATACTGGGCACACGCCGCACGCCAGAAGCGACGAGAGCAACAGAGCGAGGCCGAGGCCAACTCGGTCGGGCAGCTCTTCGTCTCAAGCCCAGAGAGTAGGAAAGGTAGGGAGACGGGACAAGGTGTGATGTGCGACGTTCTCGAGGCGAATGCAGAGATGGTCCGAGCGAAGAACAGCAGGAGAGATGCGACTTGGAGAACGCCCGAGGAAACGCAGCTACCTTGTGGTTCGCTCCTGAGCGGTGAAGGCTGGAGACACAAGATCTGTCGCACTACTTCCAGATGTAAATCCTCATACGAAAGTCATTCAGGCCTTCATGTGTGTATCTGTCTCTTGGATTGATGAAGGTCACATTTCCGCGGAGGCAAATCTCTTCCCGTCTATCTCGCGGGTCATGGATATACTATCCCGATAAGCCGCGACTGACTCTTCTGACTGTAGACTTCCTTGACCCCGGCATCTCCTACGAGATCTCCATGTTCTATATTCGAGGTGGCACCAGAACGCTTGCAACGATGCAACATCCGCGAGCAGCCTCCTTGTGTGTGGAAGGAAGGTCGGTAGGTGTTCGACGGAGATTGCTTCGGCAGAAGGAGGGATTCGAGAAACGGTGCCTACCGCGTCGCCGGGAAGCTCTCGATAATCTGGGTTTTCTTTCAACCGGATTCCGCTGGCTTTGCCCTACATCGCCGCTTCTTGAATGTGGATCAGCGACAAGGGCACCATCCATAGTACTTACGAAGTATAGGAGTCTTCCCTTCACCTGGTAATACCATTCAAGGCCTCGTGAGTGCCGACATACTCGCCGTTTACAGTGCGTACCCGGCAGTCATACAGGACGTCCTTTACTATTTGGGATCTCTAAGTAGCACACGTTATTAAAGGACAAGGTAATCGTTCGTTAACTAGGACTGTAGGTACGGCTCGAAGCGATCGTTACCGGCTGCGGCATAACCGACGAGTAGCGTGGCTCGTGGGGGTATTATATCGCGCGTACGGACCGCCGGCTGCGGTGGTGATCGCAGGTGGTAGTGAATCAGCGTGTCGTGCTCCGGGTGTCTAAAAGAGCAGAGACTGCAGTCTGACAGACGCGTAGTCGGAACGGGAAAGAAGAAGATAGGAGTAGGAATACGATGGAACCTGTCTTGGTGCCTGCCATCGACTCGAAGCAGATACGAGCGAAGTACCGAGTGCTTCATGCGGCTGTTACTTTCTGCACCGCGATGTCCGGAGTCGTCAATTAATATGCGTTAGCCGAGCCGAGAGGTCGTGCCGGCAGCACGGCTACTTCTCCTACCTATTTCGGAAAGAGTGCGAGGCTCTTCTGACCAATCGTGCCCGATGTCCTGCCTTGCTTATATGCCAGTGACTTTTCTACGCCGCGCAATCACAATGGAATCTAACGACATCGTGTGTTTCGCTGCTATAAAACGATAGACAATCGAGTTGCAAAACAGCTCGACGGCCCAAGATCACACGATCCATGTACCCTACCATAAAGATTCGGGTCTTGTCTCCCTGTTGGCCTCGTGGAATGGTATGTACGTACATGTTCGCACGGAGATCCAAGAACTTATAGTCAGAAGCCTTCACCCGCTTACCCGCTTCGACCAACGGTCAAATGGTAATGTTAGCGCTTCAGTCTTTTCGCTTTCTTCCCGTCTTCTATACGCGAATTCAGTCTTGGGTCCTACACGAGGAGAAGTCGTAGCAAAGAGTCTGGCTTTACGACTCGATCCGACATCCGCTGTCCTCGGAAGCGGGTAGCGGGCTACTTGCTGTCTGGTTTTGGTCGGTACTGCTGCGGTCCGACAGTATTCTAATGGAGAGTTGACTCTGGTACCTGTGCGGCTCCCTACTTATCCGGTTCCGCGGAATCAGCTCTTATGTAATGTTCGCGCATACTCCGCAAAAGCCGTGCCCTCCCTCGCTTGAGTTCCGCCGAGACATTTGTTACCTGCTAAGTCTTCGTCTTCCCTACGACTCCGTAGATACCGGATTGGACATCCACACAAATCGACTCGCCGTCGGTTTGCCTCTGGTGCGTTAATCGAGCTAGTTACCGCTAGTGGGAGCACTGCGTTTCTCCGCGGCTATCGATGCTCGATCGACCAAGTTCCGGACATGAGAGAGCTCTCCAGAAAAGCAGTACTCTCATCCTCCAAATCGACGAGTCCCGGTGACCCGTCACCCCATACTTGCCCGCTCTAGACAGATGTGTCCCTGTATCGCCTAAATCGGGAAAAGATTCGAAGAAGTCATTCCGCGATTGTGTCCCGCGACGCTACTCCAATGCTGTCTGTAGAGTCGCGGCTTCGCCGCTGCAAATGATATCGGTAGGACAGATGTGGGATAATGCACTACAGTTTCCGTCGGTCTTCTAGGATTGGCTACCCGTAATATCTCCCGTTTTGCTTGTGTAAATCTCCTTCCGGTCGAATCCATCCGAGAACGCTACCTATACTTAAACGCCCCGGAGGAAGTTTCCAAGCGAGAAGGGGCAAGCGAGGAGGAGGCGAACTTGCGAGGTGTCTGTATAAAGGGAATAGTAACTTGCGAGCGGTCCATTCGAATCTCTGTATTGTAGATAAGTGTTAGAAGTCTGCGTAGTGTGTACTCCGACAGCAGAATCGAGCGCGTGATATAGTCTTACAAATTCCTTCGCTAGAGCCTGTATATCGTTCTGCGTCCGTCTTGAATCCTTACCTCTTTCTCGCCCTTAATACCGCTTATGAAACAGTATCATATAGACCTGAACTTACGTACCTGCTAAACATCCGGATTTCCAACTTAGGAGCCAGCTTATATAAATCAGTCATAGCTAAAAATAACTCCGGGCGTTCGCCGGCATGTCTGGTAACAGAAGAGTATCGAAGTTAGTAACAGGCAGGGACAGGATGCTAAGGCCCTTTCGAAGTGAGCTCTCCTGTCTTGGCTTCTATTAAGGTGCGAGCCCCATACTGTGCCTAAAGCCCGACCGAATACAGTCTCCTCGTACGTTCCATATCGTTCAGCCTTCCCCCTATTTTCTCTCTCTATATCTCAAGCGGGCAGTATATGACCGCTTAAGTATTTCTACCCAGTTGCAACCTGAATACCTGTCATTCTGGCAATAAGCTTAACGTATGCACGCCAGGGCAAGCCCTTCTTGCTACGAGTTTAAGACTCGGGAGTCTGGCCAACAGTACACAACTCCTTTCGATTCGTTGTCCGTTACATACTTGAGCTACCTCCCTTAAAGATCAAAGGTGACCTCGTCTCTAGGTATCTAATCAAAAACATCCGTTAATATCCTATGCGATCTTGCTCGCGCATATCATGTCCATCCCTCGAGCAGAGGGTGCATCGACGCGCACGCACATCAAGCCCTCCATCCCATGATTGCACGATCCTCCGGCTTCTCCTTGCCATGGTAAGCCTCCCAATCTCCAGCCGCAACATGCATGTCCTGCTCAATCTCATCCTGAATCTCCTCGAACTCCCCTCTCGTCATATCCGAGCCCCGGAAAGCCCACCACTCCTTGGGCTTCGGCCATGCCATCTCGTGGCCCGTGAGAGCCTTGACGCGCATGCGGTGACGAATCGCCCTCAGATATCCAGCCTTGCTGGCCTTCTCGTCCTCGTGCGCCTGAGCGAGGTTGATCTCCGAGAACGGCTCGCAGTCCTGACTCTCGAACTTCACGGGATACACGCCGTGCAGATCGGTGAAGAGACGGGTGTGCTTGAGTTTGGCCTGGAGAACCTCTGCGTGGACTTCGTACGGGAAGCATTCTTCCTCCGGGGGATCCTCGATCGGAGAGCCGTAGGCGCCGAAGCCGCAACTGTAGAGGATACGGTTGAGATTCTGGTGGGAGCGGAGGGAGAGGTAGTCGGTCTCCCAGCGCTTGTTGAAGTCTTCCAGGGAGAAGTAGTTTGGGGAGGACGATGGGGTGTGGTGGAAGGGCTGGGTGGTTTGTGATGAGCTACGGGAGGAGGCGTGGTCGTCTTCGTTGGCGTCACGCTTGCGCTTCTCGCCTGTGGTGGGCTCTGGGACGTTATTAAAGAATCCCAAGACAGGTGAGGGTTCTTTTACCTTTTGCCGGATTGATAACGACTTCCATCTCTCCCTTCAGCTCAGAGCGCAACTCTGGTGGAGCGGTGTTCCGGTCTTGGTGATTGAGCTCGAGGCTCTCAGCGTGGCGGCGAGGAACAGTCGATGCAGACATCTTTGATTTCCGGGCGATGTGGTGTTGAGTGTTGCAAATATAGGGAAAGGGATGTGTAAAAGAAGGTTCAAGTTGACCAATTCCATGGAAGTTTTATACCTGACTCTGCTACGCTCATGGCCAAGCGTGTCGAGCTTGTTCGGAGTTCCGTTCTTTCATGATACCGCAGCGTAGTACCGTCACGACGTAAGAGTGTCATGACACTAGATTGATAGCTCGGAGGCCGAGCCGCTGCCTCGCTGGCATGTAAACTGCATGTCCTGAGCTTGGCTGCATGATGCTGCATCATGCCATCGATGAGCGTATTAGAACTCAATATCCCGGCTTCATTGCTGCAACGTATTAATGTCCATGAACCGGATGAGTCTTCCGGTATCTCAAATGCCCATTTGACGCCGATCGAGCATATACTGAAGATGAGTGGCCGCCGGATTATCGGACCGCACCAGCTGCATTACTAGCTGCATCATCGCATGCAAGTATCCGTTCCTCAGTGGCAAGTCTTGCCGTGCTTCCGATTGGATCATGAAGCAACATCGGCTATGATTTGCAAGGAGGTAAAGACCTCGTGTTGCGCTATCCCACACAACACTGGCAGAGAGAGGCCGTCGAGCTGCAGTTGAAAAACGATCCGCCTCCCTTCCCACTCTTTACCGACAAAGCAGACAAGTAAAAGATATCTCATTTCCAAGCGGCCAGCGCCTCGACATTCTCCAGTTGAGCGTGCTCTGACGCTCGTAGAGCCATATCGAACACTTCTCTCATATCAGATCCAAATCCGAAGTCGCTCAACCTACCAAGCATCCACAGCGAGATCTTCCGGCACACGATAAATCCATCGCCCGTTCCGTGCAATGCCCGCCAATTCAGCAACGTCCAAGGGCATGTACTCAACCGTCCTCCGCATTATTATACCGCCCCTTATCGTTTTCTTCTTTATCGGATTCCATTGGCGAACAGCAACCTGTATTCTTCTGGTCTCCGGTCTAGGACGAGTCATCGACTTCGCAGCGCCGAGAATCGAACACGCAATCTCGCGGCTGACGGTATGGGCAAGGAAGTGGTGCGTTGTTAGTTTGGGCATCGTGTTGCTTTTCGTGGCGTTTCAAGCTGGAGCTGTGTGGGAGAGATACCTTGGCGCATGTGCCAGATGAGCCGAGGGTAGAAGTACGATGCTACGAGGGATGCGTTGAGAAGGTCCTTGAATGCTCGATTTTGTGTCGGACAGCAAGATCTCTGTGTAGCAAAGCGTTCGTAACGACGACAGAGGGGGGAAAGGGGGGCAGGGAATCACACGAAGGGAGATGTCATTAACGATTGCTTCGAACATCGCGGCAAGGGAGGAAATGGACAATGTACTACGGATTGCAGTAGTGGTTAACACGAAGATGATGGTCATCTCTATTCACAGGTGTGGAATGGTCTGTCAAAACGGAATATAGAGATTGAAGCTTGAAGTGCGTATGTTAGTAAAAGCTAGCGTCTCGATCCAGGATCAGTTGGCGTCAAAGTGCTCTGTACGACGGGACAGCTTCTCATCCTCCTTTTCCTTCCCCATTCCTCTTATATACGAATACTATAGCTCCGGTGCCCTCTCGGTTATTATGCTTTCTGTCACGGGCGCCTTCTAGCGTAAACGTCCCAGCAATATTGGAGGAACTCGGTTGGGACCGATATACCGCCTTGATAGAGAAGGAAGACAACATTGACCTTCTCTCTTCCTATACAACCGAAAATGGATATCGACATACCCACCTGGAGTAGCCTCAATCGAGGGGATAGAAGCAGTCCCAGGATGCAGATCCATCGGTCTGCTCCTTCACTCCATTCACTAGAATCCACTGTTACATCTACCTCACATGCTCTCGCCCCAGCTCTAGCGATCGAAATAGTATGTTTTGGCGGCAAAGAGCATACTTGATCTGTTTCGGCACCAGCTATTGCCTTCCAAGCTAATGGACGAGATTCTTAGACAATACATCGGACCGGAGGACTCGGACGGCCTCCAGCTTCGTGAGTATTGTCTGATCGTTGCCCGTGAAGAGCGCAGATTCCCGCGTAAGATCACCTAAGAGAAGGAGGGGATGTGCCGTGGAGGGTGAAGCATTACTTCACGCGGAGATGAGCACTTATAGGTAGGTTGCTTCTCCGCGAAGTGACGTGTCAGACAAGGGCATTGTCAAAGCGAGAAGCGCCTTTGTCTGGAAAAGGTCTTTGTCTTCCAAAGTGTTTCACCGAGACAATTCATTCTCTACCAACACATTTCTGGAATGTTCTGTCAAATACCTAGACCAAGACACATGATTCCACTTCATTCTTCAAATAATTTCCCACCAGTCTCCAACAACCTTCCAACAATCATCCACTCACATACAACACACAAGGCGCAATGGAACAAAGTGCGCAAGAAGTCCTCTGCGCCTTCGCCGTCGAATACCATCCAATCATTCAGACTGTCCTCCTCGGCACCCAACCACACCTGGATGCCGCCAAGGTCGATACAAACGCCGCCCGGCGTATCCAAAACACGCTCGCCCACCTTGCAGTCCAAATCGCAAACTACAAAGCCTACTACCGCCAACGAAGACTCAAACAAGGAAACGGCGTCCAGTTCCCCGATTTCGCCCTCTTATCCGAGATCCTCTCCGCTCTTGAACAGGATCATCCCACGCAACGTCTCCCCAACACCAACAACCAGGATTCCGAGCAGTGGAACGAAACGTTGCACAACAGAGCAGAATGGACGCTCTCGCGCGTCCACGAAGCTTTGAAGAGGGAATGGAATGGTGTTGAGAAGACGGCGAAGTTGCATCCGATGCATATCGTGGAGCAGTTTGGGTATTATTGGAATTCGGAGAAGAACCCGTACAAGACACAGCAAAAGAAGGCAGAGGAGCAGAGAAGGGCAGAGGAGCAGAGGAAGGCAGAAGAGCAGGAGAGCGAGAGGACGCAGGAAAAGGAGACGCTGGGGGAAAATGAAACACGGGATGAAAGGTTTGCGAGGGCATTCAGAATGTTAAGAAGGTTTGGCCTGACTGTTCTGGGGGTTCAAGCAGTGATTGATGCGGTACGTAGGGAAGACGATGGAATTTTGTAGGACCCCTGGGTACATCGTTGCTCGACAGCACGACCGGTCGCGGTGAGAGGCATGTAATCATAGAATGTACACAATATAATCGAAGAAGGGGAACAGCACGATTCGTATAACTCTTGTCCTGGACCAGCGATTCTGTACGCAGCACTCCGTACCAAGGCTCCCACAAGATGTCCTCCTTCACAGTTCGGGTCTCTACTTTGAACCCGCTCTTCTAATAATGGAATTCTTGGGCTACGTTTGTGTTTTGCGCCGTCTGGAGCTGCATTGTTCTACCAAGGGGCGTGCTTCTCGATATAGAAGTCTCGGAGACACCATTGGGGGGGAAATTCCGGCGTACGGCATTGCTCCTAGACACAGTCCCTTGAAGCAAGAATTTGTTCAAGACTTCGGGGTATTCTATTTCTAACATTTGATTCTGAGTCTGGATCCATGGATGACACAGAGCTTCCTAGCACTACATTCTGAACGCGGCACAGTTGCTCCTTGTTTGGCCAAGGATGCTCCCTTCAACGACCGTAAGATTGTGCGAATTCCCGCAATTTCATGGAGGAAATGGGCTTCACGAGAGTCGTCGCAGTCCTTTTCATTCGAGATACCTATGAACTTCGCATAGAGCTGCGTATCTGTCCTATTGTACAAAAATGCCTCTTCTGTCGTCAGCATGCTGTGGTCCTCCTTGAGCGCAACGCCGGTTCTCTCACACATCAATTGATAAGCATCAATTATGACAATCATCTGTCGTTCTTGGCGGATCAAAGCCCGAAGCCAAGGCGCGCGAGCGTCTGGTCCTGGTCGGCCTCATAATCACCACCCTGTACGAACTCCTGCAACACCGGGTCTTCGTTCTCCTTGTTGGCATCGCCCGTCACATCGACGTAGCCTTGGGCACCTTCGTTGTGGAGAAGAAGGATATCCAGATCTTCCTGCTGTTGATGGACTTCAATCGCATTCGCATCCCTCAATGCCTCCTTTGGACTAGATCCTTCGGCAGGAACCATCGCTTCCGTTGGCTCACGACTGAGCAAGTCTCCAAAGAACTCGTTCCACGTCTCAGCCGAGCAGCGATCGGCGTGGTATTGCCACAGCTCGGTCATAATGAAGGAGATGCGTGGGTCGCTTATGTAGTGTTCGAGTTGCTCGAGGGTTCCAATGCCGGAGAGGACGTTGAAGACGATCATTGCGTACTTGTGGATGTCTTCTTCACCAGCCTGTCCACGAAATTCTGGAAATGCTGGCTGTTGAGGAAGCTTCTCGTTATTGCTGTTGTTGGTGATGATGGCGTTGACTTGAACAGGCTCGATCTGATCGTGGCCAGTGGTATTGACGGTGGACTTGGATCCCGAATTGTCATCGAGGCGGGCACGCTGGGCTGGAGGCGCAAGGTCATCGTTGTCATCGTTGCCGTTGTCATCGTTGCCGTCAGAAGCGTCCTCGCTACGCTTACGCTTTTCGCCAGAACCAGAAGTGTCGGTTTGGGATGGTGAGGTTCTGAGAACAATAATATTAGCAATTCCATCTTCAGACCAAAATCAACAATCCGCTGAGCTCACCCATCTCCATTCTTCTCCTCCGAACCACGCTTCTCGTCCTCTTTGCCGAGCAACTTGCACGTGAACTTGTATGTCGCCTGTTCAATCTCCTGGCGACCAGCATGGTGCTTGCAGGCGAGCGAATCCAGATACTCACGGACTGCCTTGCTCACTTGGTCATACTCGGCGGTCTTCACAGCCTGGTCGATCTTGTCGGCGAGAGTGCAGAGGTCTTTGTCAGAGACGCGGAGTGGGTTGCGAGTGCGGCAGATGGTCTGAGTGCGGGCGATAATGGCTGCACAGTGGGTTTTCGGGGCGAGGCCGAAGGTGGGGAGGTAGCGGTAGTGGGTTGGGAGATCGGAGGCCATGGTCGTTTGAATCTTTGTCGGAGAAGAGCGGGATAACGGCGGTGATGAGATATGGGAGCAAGGCATTTGCGGGGCCTTGCTATAGATATAAGGCGGGTGTGGTTAGTCAATTGATATTGCTGTAGAGTGGTGAAAGATGAGATGACCGTCGATTCTTTCGACACGATGTTGCGACACTACAACGATGGAACGTTAGAAAGGGAGAATCAAAGATTTCATGATGAGTTATGTCGCGGAGGCCGAGATGCTCGTCGTCTCGGACCTCCGCGACCCACTTCAACGCAGTATGCACGCGCTGCATTATATGCTTCTGCGATGGTAGTCTTCAAGCAGGCCATCTTCACGCCGTAATGGAGGATTCAGTGTCAACTACTGCTACTACAATGAGCACATCTCGGTTCGTAATCTATTGTCCCGTTAGTATATAGCGTTAATGCATGGGCCAGCCAGCCATACCAACGTCTACAGTTCTCTGCGTCGCTTCACTCTCCTCGCTGGCTATAGGCTCTGCGTACATATACAGATCATGCAAAAGACCCACCTGTTCGCAGTAGGCACAGGCACCGGAGTAAAGGAATGATCGTCCTGGCTGACAGAGTGGAGCCCCTAATGCACGTCGACGGCTGCTTGCATATGACATCTCGGCGGCGGTAGAACTTTGTTCCGCTCTGCTACCACAGATCTTACGCGGAGACATGTGTGTTGATACCACGTTCGTATTATAGCAGTGCTATTGGGTGATACCCGTCCTACTAAATGGTCAGCCGAGATGGACCCCTTGTTGACTGAAACGAACGATATATCAAGTCCTCGCTTGTCGATCTCGAATGTTTGACCCATATCAGTTCTGCCTCAATGTCAATCACCTAAATTTTTGGTTCGGTTTGATGAAGCCATAATAGCAGGTCTCACAGAAAAGCCAATTGAGTTATCTATAGAGGAGTATCAAATTGCGTGGATGCCTTGGTCAATCTAGTACACCTCTAAGGAGCAGAATTGGAGGTGTCTATCGATAGTTTGGACGGGCTGCTAGTATTGACGAAGTCTTCGGGCATGATCTCGTCTAGTACATCGTTGAGGTCCAGAGCATGATCGTGTCCTTGGGAAGGCAGCGTCTAGTATATAACTCCGAATGGCTAGTTCAGTGTTTGTGTGGCCTGTGTACGACGTCTTGGTTGTACGGCACGTGCGGAGATGCGCTCACTGAATCCCTCACTGTTCTCTGCAAACGTCTCCCATTGCAGATTTATTACTTTTCTCGATACTGTTCCAGACCACAGGTTTCTTCTCCATGTCTTTTCTCGCGTGGGAACTGTACGCAGAGAGGGGCGAAGAATCCCAGACTCGCTCAGGCCTTTGGGAAGACGTTTGGCCACTTCTACTCACAGCCATTTCGGATCACGATCGCTCCGTTGCGAGATTGCTTCCTGTTAAGGATGCTCCTCTCAATGCCATTCAAGTGTGAAACCTTGGCAGGCCGCGACAGCTGCAATCTCAGGTTTTTTGGTAATGCATGTAACCCGAAATCAAGACTCAATTTGTGGCAGTGGCACTGAATCGCATTACATGTGTCGAGTAACCGTGTTTCGTCAGAAAGGCCCCGTTGATCAACCCAATGCTGACGTTGAAGGGCGAAGTAGACATCGTGGGCGGCATGCTCCTTAGGATTGTGCGCGAGCACGACGAACCCTCTCGGAAGATGATGCTCGTCCAGTACGTCCACGTACCTACGAGTAAGTCCTGCTCAAGTCCATGAATGAAGCAAGTTAAAATCCACGTGCTTGTTTCATGGACCTAGGATCCATAACTCACGTCCGCCCCTGTGACACTTTTGCTCCGGTACAGAGAAGAGCGAGGAGAGTGGGGGCGTAGATCTCTAGAAGAGAAGGATCGCATAACGAATGTAATGAAGCAGAAAGGCCGAGAGTCGGGGAGGCGCCAGGAGGCGAGGGCGGCCCGGAGAGCGAGAAGGAGCCGGAGATAAGCGAGGCAGCCAGGAAGACGAGAAAAACCGAGACTACCAGGAAGAAGAGGAAGACCTTAACTAGAAGACACGGAGCGCAGGACGAAAGATAAGAAGTAGAGAATTCACAGCATGACAAATCGGATAGCCTACTGCGCAGCGATCCTCCGGTTGGTCTCGATGGGATCGATACGCCATTTGTCTAAGAGGGAAATCCGCCTGACACCCGGGCAATTGCCGGACGACACACATCTAGCTCCTGAACAGATTTGGTTGCAAGATCATACAGCGAGGAACTCTCGTTCTGGGAGGGAAAACTCCCGGCACTCCACATAAGCTCAGAAGACAGCTTGTTTCCGCGAACCAGGTTCAAAATTATCGCGGCTTTGGAGATTAGCAACTTCCGAGAACACGGCGATAATACATTATGGAAAAATACCTCATGGACTTCTTACTAACACACGTCTAAGTGGAAAGGATAGACATGTAGTGCGCCTGTCACATCGAGAGGTCGCACATTGATCCAGTCTCCCAATCAGATTGCCCGTGAGCTTTCCGCTTTTTCGTTCCTACTCCTGGCGCTGTGCATTCGTTTTTTGCATTCGAGTTCGCGATCATTTCCCATGTTACGTTCCACTGATCCACGCACCGAGGGTGAGATATTATCGCAGAGCTCGGGGCGGTCAAGGACTCATTCGAAGTGGCCTCGTCTCAAGGAGGAGCGTGGAGAGTCGAGTTAAAGCAAGTTGTACAGCTTGCGGGCAAGTCCAAGGCGCATTAGACACGCTTGTTATCGTACCGACCCGCAGTACTTCTGTCCTTGAAGGAGTCAGAAGGACTTTAAGCTCGAGTATGAGCTTGACAACCAGCCAATCGAGAGGCATTGTTGTCATCGTGCCCTTTGCCGAACATACATTCCCTAACTAGCGAGTTGGCGGATCGTGACATATCTCGAGCTTCCGGTCTGAAATGCTAACTCATCCCGCCTGCGAGTGGTAAGATAATGCCAGGCCAATTTGCTACAGTAAGCGCGTAGGGAGTCCCACGGAGGTTCGGTATGCTGGAGGCTCTTTGCAACGGCCGATTGAAGAGCAAATGCAGAGACCGAGTTGGCGAGGAGCCATGACAGCGGCGCGTTATTGGGCTGGTATAGCAAGCGGAATCGGGGATTACGTTCAGTCGAGGTGGTCGTGATACTCCTGCTTAAGTGTTTTGACAACGGCGAGTGCGGCGAGGTTGCCGCCGCGAAGCTTGACAACGTTCTTGTGTGCAATGCCTAGAAGCCGTCAAGAAGTCTCTCCTTATTCGTCCCTTGTGCGGAGGCAGGCTCGCATGTCCACTACAGGATGATCGAGGAATTTAACAGTGACATTAATTAGTCAGTGACCTGTTGTTCGTTGCGGAGAAGCGGGCCCTTGCTAAATGCTTCCTCGACAGTCTAAGAGTGTCGATTGGGTATTAGCCGCTTCAAAGAGGATATAAGTCGACGATTAGACAAATGCACGGTTAGGTCAAGTACTCCGCCTCGGGTCCATGAATGCTCTTGTAATACAGCGCCCTGCTTCGTCGGGCCCTAATCTCCTAAATCATCGTCCGAGACGAGGCAATGGTAGGGATGGAGCCGCCGCCAGCCATTGACTTGATAAGAAAGACTTGCCAGGCTCGAAGGGCCAGCCAGTCACTCTCTAGCGGAGTCAACATCCTGGGAGATGTCTGCAATCGCGGGTCGGCGTTCGAGCATTGAGGGTGCGAGGTAATCTTTCTGCAAGTAGAGACAAATTGCGTAGCAGTCGTCCTTAAATGTCGTGATGTTTCTCGAGCTGCCAGATCGTTGTCCAGAAAAGAATGCCCGTTTAAATTCGGCCGAATCGCTAGCCCTCCCACGTTTGCCTCTCGAAATTATCCCGTCTATCTTGGGTAGCCAGCCTGGGTAACGGATTCGGGTAACAAACATGGGTAATGATTCTTAGTAACGATCTCGGGGGACGAGCTTAAGGAATGTTCCTGGGAAAGATCTTCGCATTCTCGAGAAGGCGAACCTCGAAGACGACCTTGGAAACCTAAAGCTTGGAATGCGGTCCCGGGAGACGGTCTCAAGGCAACGCGGTATTGGGACGCAATCCCGAGCGGCGATCTTGAGACCGGTCATAGCAAGCCAGTTTTGAAAAGCGATCCCAGAGAGTAGTAGCCGAGAAAGGAGTCTTGGAAAACGTTGCCGAGAGAATGATTCTTCGTTCGATGTGTCATAGTGTTCCTCGCTAGAGACTCGCTGTTGGAGCTGTGTGACCTCGAGCCGTCAGTCCGTACAGAAATTTGAACCGGGCCGATATTATAGGGAAAGCTAACTCCAATCAGTCTTCTCCGTACCGATGGGAAACGCTCGTTAGATATTCCACTGGTTGCCCCAAGAACTGTCGACGAAAACTTCATGATTCATTCGGATAAGACCGGGCTTGTTCAACCTCCGAAACCCGAAGTTGCCCGCTCGAACAATGCTCGCGCAAATTATAGAGGTATGTCGAGATGGGGAAAGCTGTCTGCATTTGGGACCAGGGCGACAGTACTCCCATGTGCCATCGCAGGTTGCACTCAAAGAGAGTTTTAGCAAATGCTCCTTGAACACTAGTACTGTGCGTCCCGTGGACTACTTGTTCTCTAGGCTGCTGTCATCCTTCGTTCTTTCGTCGTTTCTTCTCCGGACATTGTTCGCTATCTCCAGTCTCCGCATTGCTGGATCCTTCGTGACTTCGTCGTTACTTTCTTCGAGACCGCAGTGGCTGGTTAGTATTATCGGCGTTCAAATCCTGACGGGAGGATGCAAGAGCCTGCTCGGGTAGAGACGCGCTCGCCTCGATCTGGGCCGTTGAAGCAATAATAGTTGGTTGTATAGACCAGGGATTCGAAATTCTCATCGCCGAGAAGCATGTCTTTGGATGTCCGTAGAGATCACGCCTTCTTGTGCTGCTGGAGGTTGTTGAAGCCAGGTTCAGACTCCTAGCTAGCATTGGACAACTTCTAGAAGGGCAGTATACCTTAT